TTGGGGTCCCCAGGTAGTTGCACAATTAAGTATTTCTTCATTCGTGTCTGCCTTTCCCTCTGGATGAGCTTTACTCTGCCACTAATTGAGTCTGACAGCAGTTTTCATCCAAGCAACAGTTCGAAGAGCACGTAGATGTTCGTGCCATCAGATCCAGTGGCAGTCTGGATGGTCGTGGTTTTTCACCAATATGTCAGCACTGAAGAAGACAAATGTACAGTTTTATTGTGCAAAGAGAAAACTATTTCTGCAAAGGTTTTTAAAGCTCCTGGAGCATTATTTTCTCAAAGAATGGGTTTCTGTTTTAGGTTCCTATGCCTTCCCTATCTTCTTTTTATAGTCATCATCTTTGTCACTTATAAATTTTTTTTTTTTTAGTTATTGAACATACCTACGATGGTATAATGGAAATGCCAGCCAAGAAAAGGGTCTGATGGATTTGCTGAAAACATTATGAAATACATGGTCTTTTTTTGAATGATTTTGATATTTAAATAGATGAGGCAGATGTAATAGGAGGAGAAGACATAACCACGGAGATATCCTTCCTTCTGCTTATAAGGATGGGAAACCTTCATAGAAAGTGGATGAAACAGGCAACTAAGAGATGAGTAGACACCCCACGTATATAGTTTCATAGAAAACCTGCAAATACCAGTTTAGAGATCTCAAATGACCTGCTCAGGTGACTCCTGCTTCAGGAGCCCACGCAAATGCAGGACTGCAACACCTCATGCTCATCACCTAGAGTTTAGCAGACTTTGCATGTAAGAAAATACTGTCCAGGTGGAATCATGAGCTGCTTCCACATTAGTCTGTAAGGTGTCTGCTTCTGAAAATGTAATATTTGTGCTCTTTGTGAAAGGTCTAGAATTGCACCATCTTGCAATTGGGTTTATTTTATAAGCAGTATCTGATAGAGAGGTATTTCTGTCCTGAATAGGTTCAGATATTAACGTTAGGAAACTTGTATTTTACTGGAAGGCTTATAAACTCCTTCAGAAACAGAAGTTTCTACATTGCTGAGAGCTTTTGTTCATACTTCTGTGGACCAATGGTATGATCTGGATGATGCCGAAAATGTCTATTTTTTTTTAATAGAGGTGTTTTCTCTAAAATGAAAATAATTTCTCTATTATTAAATTACATTCAGGAATCAAGATTTCTGTTTTAAATATTGATATGTGGGCTCTTTCCTAAGGAGCTATTTTTTTTTAGATATGTGGAACTGTTTGCTCTTTTTCAAACTGTAGGTATACTTTATGGGTATGGTTACAATGTTTGCCTTCCCTTCATGCAAAACTAATCTTTGAAAATTGTTAGTACTTCGTTGAACGACCTAAGAAAAGGCAGAGCATGTCCACCTGCTTGCAGGTGTTTCCCAGGTTTTGGCTTTATGTGTTTTATTCCATTGACATCATTCTTTTTCTGAGGATTCCAAAATCAGTCAAATGGTTGCTCCTGAGCAGGACATCACACATCTTTGTTAAAAGTGTTTTGCTGCAAGGTTACCTGATTCACAGGTGATTTAAATGTCTCTTTGTTTGTTTTTTTTTTTGGTGGGTGAGTATTTCAGTCCTTTTTTTACCTCCCTTTCAATGTATTTTTATGGGGCAGAGAGGAGGAAAGACAAGGTAGAGGGAAAGGGAGAGAAGAAGTCTTCTGTGCCCTTCATTGAAATCTTTGGCTGACAAAAGTGTGACTTCTGCTTTTTGGCTATAAATTAACAACTAAATATAAATAGAGTACTTCACCTATCTAATTGTTTTTAACCGTTCAGAGCTACAGTTCCACAGCCACTTTTCCACGGGACCAGTGTCACGAGTGGGTAGCACCACCTGCTGGCACTGCCGGCTGGGAATAGCGCAGAGCTGCATGGAAATGGGAGGAGGATAGCATCCCTGAGGCAGCGTGCACCGAGCAAATCCTGCGTTCTGATAGCTGCAGTGGTGTGGAGATAAAGCTTCAGTGATGGTCCTGCTCTTCAAGGAGCCAGTGCCACGCTGGTCTTCACTGCAGCTGGCACTCGACCTGAATAAATGGTTGCTCTGGATATATCTTTGTGTACTTCAGTCACAGAATGATTAGGAGGAGTAATTCAATCTCAGTGGATCATGTGGCATGGGATATCTAGCACGAGATGTTTCACAGATGGGAAGTTGCTGTTAAGTAGGCGATTGAGTTGGGTTTTGCCCTTTTCTGCCACTGAACCTTTAAGTCTCTGTGAGCACACAGACAGTGCAAGCACGAGTAAAAACAGTGACTCCACAGGAATGTTGGAGTGCATCTGTTTAAAAACAGAGGTTAAAACCGTCACTTTAAATCTGTGTTGCCAACTGTAATGAGCAAGGGTGCTCACTGTGAGTGACTGTAAAGAATATCTGGGCAGTTTTCTGGAGTTTCTCATCCTGGGCAGTTGCTTGCCCAGCTGGGATGGGTGGACTGGCCCAGGGCAGTGAAACACACTCCAGGACTCTCCCTTTTAGTTTGTCTTTCAAAGTTTGGAGGCGGTTGTGATTCAATCATGTTATAAATACTTGCTGTAAATTCTCTCAGGAAGAGCTGGATAGGAGAAAATAATAGAATTCCCACAGTACTTGCTACGGTTCACTGCCACTACAGACTATAGCAGTGTGCCAGTAACTGCAGATCACATGCTCTTTATCGCTTACCAGAGGGAAAAAAAAGGGCAATGGGAAAAAAGACTGCTTTTATATTATAAATGCCAATAAATGAACCAATGCTAAGCTTAGGTGGAGTAGAATTTTAATTTCTACTCCCGTTTGGCTTTCATTTCCATGCCAGTAGCACTGCAATAGATGCAGGAGATGTGCTCATGATACTGAGGGTGCTCTGTGGTGTTAGTGTTCCACGTCAGAAGCAGATATTATCTGTGATTTGATTCTTTTTACCCTTAATTTTTCTTTTCTTTAAGTCTTTGAACCAGAGGAATTCTGTTTCATTAAGCAAAACTCTTGGTTTCTGATCCTGAAATGAGGACTGAGGAGACAACCAGTGCACCTGTAGCTAGTCTTGCTCTCTGTGGGTGCTGGGCATCACTGCTGAGGTCTCAGCAGGTGCAGCCCTTCTGACACACTGGGGTGGGAACACAGCTGTGCTTCTTGGTGCTTTTTGCCTATGTAGGGTATGCAGAGGATGTTTGGAATCACGTTTTTCAAGCTGATGCTTAGCCAGGGATTTTGGGCATGCCTGGCTCAGGCAAATGCCAAGAGAGGCAGCCAAAGAGAAGGGATTCCACAATTTCATCGTACTTGGACTGCTGATCAGTCACTATCCAGGCTCACCTGAGCTGTAATCGTGAAGAGAGACCATCTTTGTTGGTAAAAAATACAATTCAGACAAACTTTTTCTCTCTTGGAGACAGTCATGTCACCATGGGGGTGCCCTGTTAGGGTGGTGTGGAGGCTTCAGCAATGAATTATGCGCAAGACCCAACTTCCAGAACTGCATGTGTCGACTTACACGAGAACTGGTTCAAAACTCCCCCTGGGAAGAGCATCCATGCTCATTGTCATGCGGATACCTTCCTGTTCACTGTGATCTGTGACAGGCAAGGATCTCTTTGTTGTCTGGTTCTGCTGGTGTGATGTCCTGGAGGGTGTGGTGGTCGGGGGAGTCTGGCAGTTATTTCCACTGCCTGTGATCCGCTCGCTCTGCTGAGCACACAGCTTTGGAGTGTTTGAACAACCCCAGGAGGGACAAGGGGATTTCAGACCCACTAAAGACTCCATCCTGTTTGGACACTTCCGTGGAGCTGGAGGGACAATATTTAACGACAGAATGATTTAACCCATATATTACTCAAAAGCTCAAGTGGTGCCAACTCCAGTCCACTATGAGCACAGACAGAAAGATAATGAGCTTACTCAGCGGGTTCATATTTTATGTTACTGCTGTCAAATATTTTCTTACAAAATTATTGGCTGTCTAAACCGCTGAGTTTATACAAGTCCATTGTAATTTGTGCAGTGATTAAATATTAAACCAGAGTGTATTTTCAGAGGAAATAAATTTAGAGCAGACCACTTTGTTCTTTAGCAGAGGATCTCTGCTCCTGTCAGTTAGGAGATGGAGCAAACATTCTTCCCTCTAATAGCCTAATTATTCAAAAATGTTTGCAAGGATCTCTTTGTAGAATTTGTGCTCTTGCTTTGGTGTCATTCTTTCATTCCAAAAGGAGGATAAGAGGTTTCAGATTCAATAACTGATGAGGTGATGGAGGTTTAAAAAAAAAAAAGTTTGAGGAGAAAGGGCCCAATTGCATGTGAAAGAATTATCCGTTTATGTAGAAACCCAAAACTAAAGATGCTTTGCCATGCCATTTAATTTTAAAGATTGACAGAAGCCTCTTTTTGCCTCTTAAGAAATTTTAACAGTTTAACTTTACAGACACCTGAGGTGCTGCCTTGCAAAGCAAAAAATTAACAGAAAACTGGATGTCATCAGTTTCTTAAGGGCGTTCATAACACACAGCAATAATACTTTTATTTTCATAGATAGCATTTTTAGCATTAACAACTTTTGACAAATAAACCTACTTATTTCAGCAAATTTTGAGTATGCTCTTGAAGTATAAGACAGGAAAAAAATCTGCTCTCGGGTTAGATCAGGTGTAACTACTCATGATTTGGCATGTGAGGATTTGTGTGTATGTGTGTTTCCATGTGAAATCTAGGAAAACATGTACTTTAACTGTCATTTTCATGCAATCTTCTGTTTCATTCTTCTCCTTTTTTCCCCATCTTATTAATGCAGATTGGAAATCAACCTTCCTTGGGGAAGTGACAGATAATCCTTTGAATACCTAATGTTTTCTGTGATCTAATGGGATGTTTTATCCAGTGTAAGGGTCTCCCAGGTCTGCACCTCGAGTGCAGTGAGAACATCATAAATCTAAAGCATGTACTTCCTGAATTTCACCTTGAACATGCAGCAAAACTATCTGTGTCTTTGTGCTGAATAAGTTTGATGTGCTTTAGTGCCCATGAGCGATGAAGAGGAAGGAGGCATTCTCTTTGATAACATTGCCAAATCCACCATTGACCCCTTTGACACCTCTTCTGGATCAGTACAGCTCATAGCCATCAAACCTGTGGCCCTGCCTGCTGTTCATGCTGCATCAGAGAGGAGCCAGGAATCTGCCATCATTAATGGAGAGGTAAGGACTGTCTGATAATGTCTCCAGCTGTTTCCTTGGCTACAGCCACAAGTGGAACAATCTTAAGCCTGTTAGGGTTGAGGACTGGTAGGAGCTTTTCACCCTGATGCTATATAAAGGTCCATTAGCACTGTCGACTGAGAAATCTGAGAATTTAAGATCTGCTCTTTCACATGCACCTGTGAATGCCTGCAGCCTTGGAAGAGGCAATTTTCTATATTCCTACCTTCCCGATGTCCTTCTCTCCTATCATATGAATTAAAAAAAAAAAAGGTAACGAAGGCAGAAAGCAGAATCACATCTTTGTCTACGTGAATTCTGCGACTGAGCGTGGAAATGTGTATGGATCATCTGAGTGCCAGGCTGATCTTTCTATACTAAGAAGTACCTCTCATTCACAGTAAGAAGGGATGCAGTGGGACCGTGGCCTTGCTCAGTCTGCACTCCAGCCTGTACACAGAGAGTGCAGTTGTTTACTGTGAAAAAGAGTGGGATGGTGCAAATGTCTGATCCAGACGCTGGCCAAAAAACATGCTTTGACTTCAACACTTATATTCATGTTTTGATGTACATTTAATCAAGACTGGTCCATTTACAAAGGACTGAGGCTTTTATCTAGTTGTTAAACACGATGGGAACAAGCAAGAGAGGTGCCTTGTTTGCAAACTCACACTGCAACAGTCCTTTAAAGATCTGCCAGAAACTCCCTGACCTCCTTTAAAAGCAACAGGGAAGGCTGTTGCCAGAGACACAGTAAAAGACATCAGGCTTCCCATGTGGGCCTGGATTACAGCAGCCGGTTGTGCTCTGTTTCATACTTGTGTTTTGAATCCTGACGTGCCATGCAGCCTCCAAACTCAGAGAAAGGCTTATTTAGACTTCAGCATCTATTTTCTGTAAAGCAACAGGATGACACTCCTGTTGCTGTGTGCTTCCTTGCTCATACACTTCCTGTAATTTGTGAGAAGACTGCAGAATTTGACACTGGAAGCACAAAGCCCAAGTAAATTCCTGATTTCTAAGTAACTGCCAATTTGAAGCAGGAGAGAAATTTTCTCAATACTTAGGAGCAACCATGACTGAGCTGGACCAGGTCACACCAAACAGCCTTTTTTTAAGGATCCTCTCTGACAGGGCCCCATAACAGATATGTACTTATGGGACCCTAGAAGAGTTTTCATCGGTGAGTTCTTCCCGTGGTGCCCAAAAGCAAGCAGGGTGTTGGGTCACACCAGCTGGCTAACATCATCAGTGTTTTTCTTCAGTGGGTGTATCTGAGTCACTGTTGTAACGGTACACGGGTTTTAGGCTAAAATTATTTAACCATCTGCCAAGCCATAAAAATGCAGCGACTCTGTTCACTTGCAGTTCCTCGCTGCTTGCAGATGGCACGGTGAGGTACGAAACACGCTCTGAGAGATGACACATGCAGAGCATCAAACACACCCTGACAATATCGTTTGGAAGTGGCCAGCCCACCACCATCCTTCAAACACCTTCTTGCCTTTTAGGTGAACAAGGCTTTGAAGCAGAAGTCCGATATAGAACATTACCGCAACAAGCTGCGCTTGAAAGCCAAGAGGAAGGGCTACTATGACTTCCCGCAGGTTGATAACAACAAGGGGCTGACAGACAGAAAAAGGATGTACGAAAAAAACCAGAAAGAACTTGACCACATTTTGGATCCAGATGCAGATGTCTCATCTCCATTTGCAGAGCCTAAGAACAGGTGAGGCTTTTTACATGCAGTTTCTTCATCTGGTAGGAAGGGTGATGTCCGGGGAGTCAGAGGGGCCGTTCTTAATGAGCCAGCTGTTTGTTGTGTGGTCACTGGTCCCTCCTGCTTTATAAAGAAAATTCATATAACCCATGGAAAGCAAGTCCTCTGGTAAAACTGCAATGTAGTTAAAAACCAAACAAATGGAAAGATAAAAAAAGGTAAGGGGAAGGACTGTTGTAAGTAAGTTCTTCTGAGTCATTTTCAGAGGTAAACAGAAAAAGTGGTAGCAACGTGTTTAGTAATACTGAGAGTACATTTTAGGCTGGAAGTTAGCATCCGAATTTGTTCCTTTCCAAAGTTCAGTGGTGTTATTATTTTGTGATTATTTTTATCTAAGTATAAGTATTGCAGTAGGCATGAGATAACAGAACTAGTACGTTGTCCACGTATTTCAAAATGTACCTGTAAGGTGCTGTGTGTACCTGTTATTGGTGATCTTCCTCTGCCCGTAACAGAGGAATTCATAATGTGCTCATCTGTGATGTGAGGCTGGCATATTGTATAACAGTACTAATGTTTGATTAACACTTCACTGTCTCGTGAGGATGGCACACCAGTAGTATTCATCTCCCCATTTTAGAAATGAGGGGGGAGTGCACATGCTGACTCTGCCTGAGCCTCCTGAGGCGGGTGGGTGGACCTGCTCTCTGTTGCTGGTGCTCTCTGAAACACAAACTGATGTATTGTAATGAGGAGATCACACCAGTCCTACCCCAGGAACGGCACAGATTCCTCTTCCTCAGGTGTGGCAGCGGTGTGAAGGATTATAAAAGAGTGTGTTCATCACTGCACCTTGTATCAGGAGGGCTCTGGTTCTTACTGTAATCAGGGACAAGCAGCAGTTGATCCATGAGAGAAAAAGGGATACTGAAGTACCTTTTCTCTGGAAGTGGCCCTCATGCCTGGAGGTGCAGTCTTGTATCCCATCTCCTGGAAAGCTGAGACCAAAATTTTCCAATGAGCATAAATCAACTGCAGTCAAAGCATCAGTAGTGACACAGATGTTGCACACAGTGCAACTTCAGCGATTACCCTTGGGGCACAGAGATAAAAAGGACTGTAGTGGGAATTACAAAAGTAGTGTTGGCTCAGAATATGGGCAGAATCTGCAATCAGATGAATTTCTGTAGGTCTGCAGTTAAATGTCTGAGGGATACTGCCCTTGGTGGGCTGTTTCCCACCATTGCACTGGTCAATGAAAATAAAGATGCTGACTCACCTGTTATGTTCTTGGTGGAGGACCCGGGGCATCATTTCCTCGTGCAGTTTTCCAATTTATTGTGCACTGAAAAAGTAAGAAACTGAACCCTCACTACAGGGCAGTCCTGCTCTGGATGCTCTGTCCAGAAGGTACAGATGGAACACCGGGAACATTTGTTGAGAAATATCTTTAATGCAGGTGGCTGGAAAGTTTCTTTAACACATTGATGTGTGTGCTGTACATACAGTGGTGGATTGAGGCGTTGCTTTGGATGTTTGTTATGTGTCACGTGCCACATAGGAAATGTTTCAAGCATTACACTGAAGCTTTAATACTAGCCATCTGCTTTTTGTTAAATATACTGATGTTTGTTTGCTCATGTGCCAGTATAACGAGAGATCCCAGAATACATTTTTTCCTGCCCGTTATCTCGTGTGTTGTGTAAACATGTCACAGTCTATTTGAGATAGGGATCACAGGCATGATATAAACTGCTTGAAGGCAGGTGAACTGCAGTGGAGGAATGATTTCAGCGTGTAGCTGAACCATGAAAGGCTGGCTGCTGCATTTACTTGTTAAATGTATAGCCTCTATCCCTACATGGGAAGAGAAAACCATTTCTGATGCGCTTTCTGTAAAGACACAGAACACGTAATGAACTTCACAGATGCTGCAGATATTTACAAAGAAAGCAACTCCAAAATCTGTGCTAAAATTTTCACACCGGGACCTGGAAGTGAACTTGATAATGCTGCAGCACACATGACAGTTATTTATCCCTAGTTTTCTAACAAAAAAATGGCTAAAATGGCACACTGCTGGAGGAAAACCTTGAATAATACTACAGGGTAGCATGGGTTTGGTTATTGATAAATGAGTCAATACAGTTGTATTTCTGTAATGAAGTAAAATTGCTTTAAAAGCAATCAGCGAAGCATACAATTGAAAAAAAATATTTCAAACTTTTTCTGCTTTGAATTATTATGTCATTGATTGTAACAATTAAAATCTGAAAAAACTGCATTTTTTGAAAATGGTATCACTAAAAGGTAAGTCGAGTTTTTAGGGAACAGGTTTATTCCACTCTTTTCTGTTTTGTATATATTTGTGTAACTTAAATCACATTATTACAGCATTTTCAAAATATATCAGAAAATAGAGAAGCAGTTGATTACTCAAGATTACCTTTGCGTTTTGGATGATTTTTAAATTGTATTTCAAAGTGACATACAATACATTGTTGCTAAATGATTTGATTTTTCCAGAACAAACAGCTTTGTGCTCTTCAGCCTTCCATACCATAAAACTCATGTTTTAAAACATTCCAGTTGTATTCCCAGAAGGCACTTGCTAACCTATTTGAATGCCAGTTGTTACCATTCATACCTCCTTTCTCATTAGTAAAACTCTCTTAAATGAGGTAATTGGCAATCTCAAGGTACTTTTTAAGAGCCTAGTGATGATATGAACTATTCTTGGATTTTCTTTAATAGTTTGTAATCAGGTCAAGAATCTGCATGTATTACAGAACTGTATATTTGAATCCCTTGGAAAATATATCACAACTGCCTCAACTAAGTGTTTATGAACCTACTGTAAAACATATGAAATTTTAGAGACCTTTAATGTTGGCAGATAAGGATTGTCAGATCTGATTAGCCTTAGCATAACCTAGTTCTCCCTGTTTTCTGGTAATATTGACATTATAGTCAGAGGAAGACTATATGGGAAGAAACAAGAGAAGAAACTGGAATTTGTTCAATATTATTTTTATAGGGGAAACTTATTTCAAAAGCTCTGCTTGTCTTCTGCTTTGGCAGCGCATTTGGGACTCTCAGACATGAGCATGGTGATCTGTGATCAGAGGTCACACACAGAAGTTTCTGAAACTTGCCTTTAAACTAAGTACATGACTGAGTAATTTGTTTAATCAGAAGTGTGAAACTGATATTTCGTTGTCCTACCTTTTATCCTGTCTGATCGTGTAAATGTCCCACTTTCTGGATTTCTGCAAAACAGTTTCTGCTGCTCTAATCTGTCAAGGCAAAAAGTGCTGCTAACCAAATCTGGAATATCTGAAGAATTATTTATCAGTGAATTCATTTGGACCATCTTGGCTGTTCATTCCATTGATGGCTCTGGAGTCATTAAACCATGCAGTGACTGAAGGTGCGAATTCAGACATAACAGTGTGACTTGTCTTCACTATGAACTTTGCCAGGTCCCCTGTGTAAGCAGCACAGAGACACATTAGATGACCTGATCTAATTGTAATATTGTGAATGGAGTTAATTGCACAAAGCAGAAAAATAGCACGGCTAGACAAAGAAAACTTTGTATCAGGCTCTAACTGTGTTAATAAATGAGGCTGACATGCCATTATTTGATCTGTTACTCATCTACAGTGGGACCAGTGACTCTCTGGGCTGTGCAAAGAAAATGACTAATGGACAGATACAGTATGAAAACAACTCCTAAATTCTTCTGGTTTAGAAGTAGCCTTCTTAAAAGATACAGTTTGATAAAGATCCTGTATCACTATTTGGCAAACGCTCCTGAAGATACGTACAGATATGTTTGGTATTTCACGGAGGGATGCTATATTTGTTTTTGTATAACCAGTAACAAGGGCAGAAATGGTTGTGCTGGAAAGATTACAGGGTATTTTGGGTATTCAGTTACATGCTGCCTTTCTCTTATATTTGCTTCCCCTTGCTCCTGAGCTCACAGTGGTGAAAGCTCAGTGCCTAGGGATGAGCAGCACTTCGCCCCAGTGTTGCTCAGAGCTGTGCTGCAAGCAGTTGAACCCCAGGGAGCACAGCTCTCTAAGGAAGTTGTGGCCAGTCACCAAACTGGCTATTTAAAAACAGCATCTTGCAAGCAGTTTCCTCCCACTCCTGTTTCTCTTCCCGTTCACTCTGCTGGGTGTTTGTTTCGGTGGAGCGTTATTCCGCTTCTCTCTCATTGCTCAGGATCAGCAACCAAATCTCTGCTCCCCGTCTGTGTCTGTGGGAGGTCCTGTTCTTTTTGATAATTTTTTTAATGAATTTGAATCATATCCTTTATATTAAAAGGGACCTGATATCTTCTTAGGACATATTTCTTCTGATAAGCTCCCACATACGATGTCCATGTCTTTTACATAACTTTATTTTCTTAGCAGTAAAAAAATGTAATCATCTCTTAATAACATTACTGATTTCTAGCACTTCATATAGAAGGACTATCCTATAATAAAGTGGCATTTTTGTGAACCTCATCATCTTAGAATAAAGGTAAGTATTAAAAGCTGCTGCCTGTCGTATTTTTGTTTTCTTTTTATTTTACTGTTTCCTCATTCCGTGTTTTCTAGGCAGCCACTGAAGAACTCGGTGTACAGGAGCAGGCAGTCTCTGAACAGTCCTAGCCCAGGAGAAACTGAGATGGATCTTCTCGTGACCCGAGAAAGGCCTAGGCGTGGAATCCGTAACAGTGGATACGATGTAAGTTTATTGGATATATGCAGTGAAATTTTCTCTGCAAAGTCTTAACTTACTCCTAAACCCAGGAAACTATTGATAAGCCACAAAACAGATTGTCACGGGATATTTAGTGTTAGAGGACTTTATGTGCACTCAGCAACCTGAAAAAAAGCTCAGGATGTTCAAAACGCAGACTCTTTCATGTGCTTTATCACTGTACATCATTTTATGGTCTGAAATGCAAGAAAGCATTTGCCCTGAAACTCGTTATTTGCCAAAATGCTGCGTTTTGAAGTTAGATAGTTCTTCTAAGTGTGCGGCCACTCACACGACTGAGCTTTTTTCATGGCAATTAAAATCCCCTGTTTGTTCTGAAGAACAGCCTGAAGCTGCTCTCTTGAGTCAGAAGAATGAACAACCAAATTCTAGGAATTTCACCTCAGTCCTGATGTCAATGTTTTGTGGAAATCCCTTAGGGACAGATATTGTCCTCTTGCTACCTCAGAACTGGGAGAGTTTTGCGTAGGTGAATGTCAAACCCAGGCAGAGGAGATGCTGCTTTATGGTCCAAGGAGCTCACACAGCCAGCACGAGGCAGATGAGTTGTCTTGTGCAGTCTCAACATACACTGGGTACAACTTGGCACTGTGTGCACCCAGAACGAGGACAAAAATAGGCCCCACACTGGGGTAACGTAGAGCTTTTCAATCCTTCGTCACGTGTACAAACTGCTGTAGCTCAGCCAGCCCTGAAGACCAGTCCCCAGAGAAAGTCTAAACCATTCTGGAAAGCAGGGAAGTTCACCTGTGGTTGTTCATCCTCTGAACTCTGTAGATGACAAACATTTTGTGTGGGGCTTCATTGTCAACCCTCCCCCCCACCAGCTGCCAGGAGCGTGTTTTTAGCAAGGTGAAGTAAAGTGCCAAGGTCAGGGGATATGTTCAGGGAAGTTTAAATCTTTTAGAGAATTCTTCAGGGCATGTTGTGGTTGTCAGATTTCCTAAATGATTTTCTGCATTTGGACACTTCCCATCAGACAGCAGGAGTCATGTTGGGCCACGTACGTGGGATGACTGGTTCACTGCTCTCTGAGGGATTAGAATACTAAGCTAGCAAAAGCTAGTTTTTCACAGGGGATGTTTTCCTGAAATCAGTGTTGAAAACATTCTGAGAGGGGCCATGGCAGCAGATTTTAATAATATATTTTAGTATATTGTGTATACTATATGTAAAATGTATTTTAAAGGAAATTTGTTAAAAACTTTGAAAGTAGATTAATGAGTTTATGCGGATTCTGAAGTGTCCTGCAAGTATTTGCAAACTCTGAGATCTGTGCACATCACAAAGAAAATTTGCTTTTGCCTCTCTTTTAATGCTGCATTTTGGGCTACCTGCCCCTGGCACAGTCTGTTTAACTGATATGTTACATAAAATCCTTTTGCCCAATGCACTGCAGATTCGCTGCAGTGCACCTCTCCTAACTCGGAATGTATTTCCTGTCTGAAACCAGAAAAAAATGCCACAGGGAAAATGGGACAGGATATTGAAATTTAGTTCCCAAGCCTCAGCCTGCAGCGTGGGCTGGTTTCCCTCGCTCCTGTTTGAGGTTGCTCAGAGCTCTGCCGAGCACCTGACGGGCTTCGTCTCCCGGGATACTCATGGGTGGGCACTTAGAGCTGTATTTATGCATGGAATTCATATGGATCTCACCAGTGGTGCAACTAAACAAACACCTCTGTAAAGCTGACCTCTGAAAATGGGTGAGGAAGGGCTCTGGTTTGAATATAGTAACACCTGGTACCATTTTTTGACATCCACTTGGTCCTTTTGAAGGTTCCAGCCTTCTCAGACTCCTCTAATATCTTCCTTCCAGCACATGTTATTTAGCAGCAAGTCCTGCCAAAGAATAGTGAAATTTGCATTTTATAAGCAGTTCCAAATAATTAAGTTTATGAATCAAATAGCTCACGTTGTCTTTGTGTCCTGAGATTTTTTTTTCTAGATTAAGAAATGGATTTTTTTGAGCTGTTACCAGTACACCCATGTTGTTGTGTGTGTTGAGGTTTATCTTCTCAACAGTGATAATTTTTTTTAAAGAAAAGAGATTAAGATCCCCCAGATTCTTTGAGAAAACTCCTTAAGAATTGCTAGACTTATATGTACAACCATAGAATTCCCCTTCAACAAAAAATTTCTAATATTTCTATTATGGTTTTCTAAAATACTTCATACTTTTCTAAGAATACTTCATTCTTTCTAATTGTTTTTCATATTTCTCTGAATCATGGTTCTGTTTCTCAGTGCTGAAAATTGCCAAGGATATGAACATAAAGATATAATATTCTATATATGTCCATATGGAATATGTAGCTTTTTGTATTATTTTGGCACGTACATTCTGCTATTTCATGTTTTCAGTATATTATTTGCCTTTATAGTGTCTTTTATAAATGAATTATTATTGAACAGTATCTATCTTTCAATTTTAAAGAATCCCAACAGGGTTTGCTATCATCACCTTCACCTAGGAATTAAATTAAGATGACTTTATTAACATGTTTATTATTTTCAACATGTTCAAAGACAACTGTGAGTAGACCAAATGCCATAAGGAAAGACTCTAGAACCTCTAGACTGCTGTATACCTTAGCAGAAAATATTTAGGCTGGTTTTGCTGTAAAAGGAAGAAAATTACCCTATTATACATATCCAAGAGACCTACATAGAAGAGATTTCACTGGCATAATTTTGTTGACTTAGCTAAATTAATGCAATGCCTCAAAAAGCTCATGGATTAATGTTCACCTAAGGAATTTTTCTGATATAGTTGCAGCAGCAGAATTATGTAAGTGTATAAAGTCTGTCTCTCAGTAAAGGATTTTTTTTTCCTTCTTCATGTAGCTCTAGTCCCTTCTATTATACAGTCACTGTGTATGAACAATATCTTGATTTTTTTGTAATGGTTGCATTAGCGAAAATGGTGGCATTATTTATGATACATATATGTTTCAGTAAATAGGAAAGCAAATGGCATGCATCAGAAAGTGATAGGGTGAATTGAAATATATTTTAAAACTTGAGGAAAAGGAATGATCACCAACCAGTCTCCTCCAAAATCTTCCTGTCAGCTTTTATGTTGATCAGTCAAAACAGACTCAATGTTGACTGCTAATAGGCATCTTTTATTCGTATGATATATTTTAGACATTCTGTTGAAGTCTAATGGCTTCACCATTAGAAAACCTGATTTATTTCATCGTTGGGTACTAGTAGGTCTCTTGTGGGATTCCATTCACTGACATTTTTACAGGCATGAGGAAATAGAAGTACGGTGGTTATTAATCACCCAGTTGGGACAGGGTTATTTTAGAGGCTCTTTGGCTGCACTTATACAAACTACCATTGCATTTTATAGTCTGGCTTCTAAAATGTACTTGATTTTTATTTACTGTAACAACAAAACAACAGTGGAATCAAAATGCAGGAAGAAAATTTAGGGAAATTACTTAGTTGAAAATTTCCTACGAAGTTTTTTCGTTCACTTTGTGCAGTTACATTCTCCCTCTCCCAGTCTGACCTGTATATCACTTAGGAAGCCTGAAGTTGGGTTTGTAGTTTTGAATTTGGATAATATACACTGTATAAACATAACTATATAAACTATGTTTGAATTCTGACATGCAAATGATTCACTGTTTTTCTAATTTTTCTTCTTTCATTTGCTGCTGAATTTTCATTAAATACAAAATATATACTTAAAACAGAGAAAATGAATGAATTTTTTACTTAAATTTATTATCACTTTTTAGACTACCAACGTAACTCTTCTCTGAGTGGCTGATAACAGAAGAAGAAAGTCATTTTGACAGTTTCCTGTGAAAAGGAAAAATATGTATGATGATTGTCCTATAGCTTGCAAAAGGTTGGGGTCACAGTTGCTTACCTATTCAGATGTAGAAAAGCATGATTAGATGGAAAAAAAAAATGCCACACTAGGAGCTACAGAAGACTCAAACCATCAGGATAGGGCTGGAATTTTTAGTAAGAACATCCTGTTGTATTCTTTTATTTGTGTCTATTTTAAACACTGGCACAGTTCTAACCTCATGCTATATATAGAAGACAGTACATATCCTATCGTTCATTCCAGTTATCCTAGTATCCTAAATGATACGAGGATAATGCTACAGATATTTAAAGATCTGTAAGGAACTGGTTGCTGTTTTAGGTTGCTGGTTTAAAATACATATTTTTAAAACTATGGGCTGTGAAACTAATCTTAGAAAATATAAATGGAGTGCGGTATTTCACTGTCAAGTTCTTGCAGTATGATGATTCTTTTCTGTCGTGGAGTTACAGGCAAAAAAATCGTGGAGGTGATTTATGTTTGTACTTTTCTGTACAGAAGGAATTACCCCAGGAGTAACCCTTCAAGTTAAGCTGCCCAAGTACTATCTGCTCATTAGAGTGTGTGCTTCATTCACTGTTCCCACGTTAACTTTGCATAAATATCTGTGTAACTCCTGTTTGGTGGCTGGGTGAGACGACCGAGCTGGGTCAGGGTATCCTCTGCAGGGCACAGGACCGAGTTTGTGGTAGTTCACTGTTGGTGGTCCTCGCTGGGTTAGAAAGTTCAGGAAAACTGCTAAACCTTAATTCTTGTGAAATCTTAATGTGAGAGAATGAACAAAGAAATTTCAGTCTCTGTAGCTACAATAAGCAGTCCCTTTGTGAGGGGTCCTTCATAGTGGTGGTACTATTTAGGGAACCATACTCTTCCTGGCACAGTTGTGCTCCCATTGATACGACAGCTAAGAGAAGAATTTAAACATTAATTCTAATTGTTTTTAAGTGAGTCATTGACAATTTAATCTGCTACAGAGTGTCCCTGCTAGTATTCCCAGCAAACAATGTAGGATATAAAAGGCTATTATACTCCCCTGCATCATATCACTCCTTTCCAATATTTGTCGCGCGCCTCCATTGTCACAATTCCTGACTTTGTGTGTGTTACATCTGTGCTTGACAATGTTTTGCGAAGCAGCACAAATACTGTCTTGTAAAGCTTTCTACATATACGTGCTTTTATTCCCCCCAACAGACCGAGCCCGAAATTATAGAAGAAACAAATGTTGACCGTGTCAACGAGCCTCGGAATTACAGCAGGTCCCGTCAGGCCAAAGGCCACTCGGAGACCTCAACTTTAAGTTCTCAGCCCTCCATTGACGAGGTTCGGCAGCAGATGCACATGCTCTTGGAGGAGGCCTTCAGCCTGGCCTCTGCAGGCCATGGGGGCCAGAGCAGGCAGGACTCGTACGGCTCGGCTCCACACCTGCCCTACTCGGAGGTTGTGACCAGCGCGCCGGGCACCATGACCCGGCCTAGAGCGGGGGTACAGTGGGTACCCACGTACAGACCAGAAATGTATCAGTACAGCTTACCAAGACCAGTAAGTGAAGCTTCTTACCGTGATAATCCTAAAGGTATTTCTGCTCTGAGACGCTTTTTTTTTTTTTTAAAGTAGTCCCATTTACATGCTTAAAACTGGATCTGCTCATAACTATGATTAGTGGGGCATATGTGAACATGCTTACCCAGACACATCTCTTACAGCCACACAAGTACACCATAAAGTCTCGGTATCTGTTTTAGCAACAAGGTTGTCTTGACTAAATTGTGCTTGAGAGAATAGGCTGAACTGAGCTCCAGGCTGTTCAACAGATCAAAAACTTGTTTGCATGTCTCTCACTGAATGCATATTAGGAAACAATGTGGTTTCATAGAACAACTATGTCAGCAGCTGGGTATGAAACATCAACAGTTCTGCGTCACTGGAGAGGTCCAGCACTGAAGAGCATCACTGCAAGAGAGTGAAGCAAGTGTAATAGAGTGACCTGAAATGTGGACTGTTACTGACAGTCTTGCAGTTACAGCTATTGGCTTGGGACTCTAGGGAAGATTTAATTCCATGGGTTTCTTGGTTGACCTTATAAGTCACTCTCTATCCTTCGTTTTCTAGCCTCAAATTGCAGCTAGTCACTCTTTATCTTTAATTTTCTAGCCTCAAATTGCAACTAACATGTCCTTATCTCTCAGAAGCAACGAATAAATTAAGAACTTCAGTCCGTGGGTGGAAGTTGTTAATGGAATTTTATAGGTGCCTAGGCAGCAGTCACAGTAGCACTGTGCATGCTCATGGCTTGTGAAGCTGTCCCTGGTAGTTTCACTACATATGGTATTGTGAAACTCAGCAACATATTTTCTTATATATCAGGTACAAATCTAAACCAGAGATGATTGCTTTCAGATGAGAAATAGCCCAACTAATAATATTAGTCTGAAAATTGTCCATTTTAAGGTGCAGGTTTTTTGTCAGAAATATTTTTTTTTTTTTTAAAGATTGCATTTCAAATTGAGTCCCTTACTCTGGCTAGAATAAGATGATAATGCAGAAAAATGTCCTCGCTTCAAAATAACCATTACCATGGCTTCCTTCCATGACAATTAAAAATACATTAAGGGATGCTGTCTCTGAACTATTCCGAACATACTTGAAAGCCAGTGGCACTGCCTGCAAAGGTTCAGGCCAGTGCTATTTAAATCATGCTAAAAGTTATTTCTGGCATTTTGAAATTGGTCCGATGAACTTCATACAGCATATAATCATATTTTATGGTTAGAATTCAATTAAGAGCTCAAGAGACAGCTAATGGGGAGTCAAATTACTTTGACACTTCAAAAGAATCTTCATAAAATGAAATTAAAAACATTATATGGTGAGAGGTTTTTAAAAAATGTAATAGGCATACTTTTTTTTTGGTGAATGATTCACTGTTTTCTTTCTAAGACTTATTACTGTCCTAAATCGTCTGCATGTTTGGGACCTTTATGCATTTGCTTATCTTTCTGGCATTCTCAAGATAGTGTTAAATTCCCTGAAGATAGTTATCACCACAGATTAGGAGAGCCACAGGCTGCTGGACTTTGGATGAGGGCTGGCAACTCATAGTTTTCTGCATATCAGTTTCAGGAGCACCCAGCATTTTCTGGTTTGTTCTCAGATGGGGATGGAGGATTGTAAATGAAAATATCCAGCCAAGAGGTGCATGGGAAGTGACCTGTGGGTAGGAAAAACATGGAAGAATTACATCTCAGCACCTTAGGAGCTGATTGCCTGTCTGGGATACCTCTCCTCAGCAGCTCTGGGGGAGATGCTGTGATGGGGAGTGTGTGGGAGTGGGTTGGACAACATGTGGAGAAGGTGTCCAGGCTCAGTGAGCTGAGGGGTGAGTGAGCAGCCTCTGACAGCTTTGGGGATGAGAGGTACCTGTGCACTGGGATGTTGTTACCTCTGCAAACCAAGAATTATTTATTTTTTGCCCTTTTTTAAACTTCAGTTCTTAGTGGCAATTAAAAGTCAACATTAACAGTGCTGTTATAATTTGAAATATGGATTCAAGAACATTTTGCCTGCTTATACAGAACAAATTCAGACACTGGCTTTACTGTTGAGTCTTTAGATATGAGGCAAATATAAAAGTCTTCAGTGTGTCACTCCCTTCTGAGATCTGGCTCCTCACAGCCCAGTTTCACTAGGCTAAACTTTTTACAAGATCCCACAAACTTTCCAGTAACTTGAATGCACCTTTAGGTTTTATAAAACCTAATGCAAAGGCATATCATAGGTGATACAAGTGCTGCATAAGATTTCTAGCACAGACATGCTCTGTCTTTATCAAGCAAAAATGTTAAACAGATTGAGGCAAAAAAGCAAAATTCTGCTTGCAAATCTCCACCTCAGTGTTGGCCTCTGTCCCTGAGTTTTTGTGCCATCTGCTTTCAGTGGTCCAGAACCCCTTTTCAAGTCTGTGTTTCTTCAGGTGTCCTCCAAGTTATGGATCTTTGGTTTCTTGGCTAATCCCACCATCAAGCAGTTGTGTATCTCTCCAGAGTGTGCATGCATCTTCTTTTTCATTTTCCTTTTCCCTTTTGAGGCCTTCTGTGTGGTTTTTTTTGTTTGTTTGTTGGGAGTTTTTTTTACATGCTAATATTAATACCTAAATTATCTGTGGCTCTTGTGTGGAAATGCCTGTTTCCCAAACTGCCCATTGGGTCACCTGTGAAAACAGGATTCCTTCTTATGGGGCTCACATCTTCTCCAGGCAGAGAAAAGCAAGTGAAATGCAAAGCCTTAGTGTTGTTCTGGAGCCTCCAAAAACATGCTGAGTAACACTTGGCTGAGTCCTTGTCATCCAGCTGGTGTGCTGTGACTGGAGGATGGAGTTATAGTGTTGATTGTGTGGCAGAAGCCAGCCTTGGATCTTGGCAGATCATATTACTGCTTTGGAAATTTGCTCAGCTGAGTCAAGCCAAGAGCTAAGGCCAGGGAAGAAAACCCTCTTTATTACAGGGCCGGACCAGTTCCCATCTCTCCTCTTCAGTGCTCTGGAAAGAGGAGTGAGAGTTACAGAGCTCTGTGTCCCAAGGTGAGATGTAGCACCATGAACAGACACTGATGACCAAGAGTTGCAGGCTGATAATATATCCACGTCCTCAGAGCTCTCTTCATTTAACAGAGGTAAAGAGAGGTATTTTACCAACATTCAGCTACTTTCAGTAACAGCTGCTAAGTATAAAACAGGACAGCTATTAAAGCAAAACCAAATCAATAAGTTTGTATTATTCCTGGATTGCAATTTCATAACCAAATTAGGTAAATCATTCAATGAGTAAACAAAGACACTGCTCAATTTAATAACCAAATTAGTCAAATCATTCAAAGAGTAAACAAAGACACTGCTCTTTTAATTTGCATGGTGAGATGTAAGGAGATGGATATTTCTGTAATTAAAATGCAACATGGAATAATTTCACCCAAGACAAGTCTGTAAGTTGGGGATGGTAAAAGTCTTTAAATATTGCAACCAGGGGAATGTAAAAGCCAACTGCAAAATTATTGTGTGCTGGCCTGTGAAGACAGGCTGAGAGAGCTGGGATTGTTGAGTCAGGAGAAGAGAAGGCTCCAGGCAGACCTAAGAGCCCCTTCTAGTACCTAAAGGTGAGAGCTGGAGAGGGATTTTTAGTAAGGGCATGGAGTGGTAGGACGAGGGGGAATGGCTTTAATTAGACAGAGGGCAGGTTTAGATTAGGTATGGGGAAGGAATTCTTTAGTCTGAGGGTGGTGAGGCACTGGCACAGGTTAACCAAAGAAGTTGTGGCTGCCCCATCCCTGGAGCCGTTCAAGGCCAGGTTGGATGGGGCTCTGAGCAACCTGGTCTAGTGGAAGGTGTCCCTGCCCATGGCAGGAGGGTTGGAACTTGATAATCTTTAAGGTCCCTTTTCTTTCCTGCCTCCTGACAGGTGGGACATTAGACTTTTGTGGGTTGTAGAAGACAGTGATGCAGGTGTCTGCTGGTGGCTGAACTTTGTCTTCCAGAGGGTTTATCCTCCTGGGCCCAAAGGCAAAAACCCAAAAGATCCTTTTAAAAGGATTTTTTTTTAAGAGTAAAATTAGGAAAATCTGTGAAATCAGCTGGGTTGTGGATTTTCTCCCCCCTCTCTGATTGGATTCACAATGGCGTACAAATTTCAGTGAAGTGACTTTAATTCTACATGATTCTCTAATCATGCTGGTTAGCCAAGAACCTAAGGGCTCATCTAAATCTGCAACAGGACTCTACAGTAAAACTTCTATTTAATTTTGCTTCTGAACATTTTTTTCTGCTTATGTATTGCATGCAAGAAAACACTAATACCCCAACCCATTGGAGAAATTCTAGAAATTTTATTGGAGTTCCCTCTCATAACCATCTAGGTGTCTGTGGAAGCTCAGCATGAGGACTGACTGTTCCTCAGCATGCTGTAGCAGATCTTTTTACAGGATTTTTCACTTTAACAGGATTCTCTCTGCCCAACCACTAGCAAAATATTGCCAGTCACTCAAAATTGTTCATCCCCTCTGTAAGCAGCAAAATAAACGCTTCGATTTTCTATTTTACTTTTTTCCCAAAAATTTTCAGTGCAAGTCGCAGCATATATGTGAACTGTGATCCCTTAAAATATCTCCTAGGATGTCCTTATTCCAAAGCTCATCCACTAACACACAGAAGAGAAAACCCAGATCTACTCTGAGTCTCTGCCTACCCTTCTAAACAGTGTCTGGAGTCGCTTTCCACCCTGAAACATTATCTCATGTGCTGTTCCTTTAAAATAGAGGGAATAAAAAGGATTTCATGCTTGGTACAAATGCACGCTGAGAGCAAGATGTGGGATGAAAGGCTTGTGGAGCCAGAAGGAAGTGTTCAGCCCAGCCTGTGAGAGCACTGCCAGCGTTTGAGGTGCAGAAGAGGCATTGCAGACCATTTCACATTCAGCGCTATTAGAAGAAATATAATTGAGGTTTTTCTTTGATGCAAATAACATTTGTTTTTTTTCTTTACAGTTCTTTCATTAAAAATCAGTATTTCCAACCCCTGGCTAAGAAATGTAGCAGTGCCTTTTTAGTTTTCTTTTTCCCTACCTAAACGTAGAAATTCTTTAAATATCATGGCAGCGTGGTGAAAGTAAATATTAGGAGACTGTAGGTGGCATGAAAGAAAAAATTATTTTCACAGACATGCCTTTGAGGGTTTCTACCCTGCTTTAGTAGGGGTGGCAGTGAGAGGAGGGAGGAAGATGCTTGGTCTGTATTGCTTTTCCCTTGGAGACACTGACATCAAAAGTCAGTGTTTGATAAATTACTTTTCCTCCTTGTTAACCCAGTTTTGCAGGTATTTGAGAATGAAGGTATTGGAATACGGTCTAAATGTGTAATTTTAAAAGATGATTACTGAAAGATAGTGTTTTCTGATACGTAGTGTGGGATTTATATTGCCAAATTCAAACCTAAATGTAGGTGTTAAGTCTGAACTAATCATATAAATCCTGTAGGCTCTTTCTACAGGCGGGAGAGAGAGCATGACTCATCCCATGGGGACGTGTTTTTAACTTTCTCTGCTGTTTCTGGAGGGAGTTTCTCTGGCTGAACCAGATACCTCTTGTTTAGAGGGCCAAAGTCCCACCACTGGCCTCCATTTTTTTTGTCAAAATGCCTGTGTCTTGATAGAGAACAGCCTTCCCAAAATTTGTTATTTGTTATTGCTCTGATTTTATCTTTAATGCTGTGCATTGCTTTGAAGCATTGTCAAGAAAAGCATAATTAAAAAAAATCACAACCAAACAATGAAACAAACAACAACAAAAACCCCAAGACCCCAAAAAACCCCCAAAACCCAAGAAAACCAAAGTCTCACCCATCATATATTGAAGAAAAGTGTCAAAGAAACACTAATGAGATACCATTCCTTCGTCTTTAGGTATATTTAGCAAAATTATGGCCTCTAATCTATAGCAGTACAAAGAATTTAGAAGGGAAACTTTGTCCAACCTGTCATTTCTTGAGTGCCATGGGTTTCATGCACATGATTACTCATCCCTCACACCTATTAGTGATGAAACTCAGAATTATTATGGGCAAGTTGCTGAATTTTGTGACTTAGTGGTTTGGTCCTGTGTTCCTCTGCATCAGTCTGCCTTTTCAGAGCTGTTTGAGGCCTTTGTTGCTGTGCTAGAAAGTTACAGAGCTTGGGGGGTTTGTGAAGAATTTTCTTTTCATCTCCTGAAGACTGAAAGGAAGAGGTTGAAATATGGATTGCTCACAGGCGGCTTTGCCTCATGACATGCTGTTCTGAGGATGCTTTCTGAATCTTTAAAATACTTTCTTTCTTCCTGGAGGAAGATACTGAGGTCTTTTTCCTGTGGTCCAAAACAGCTGTTGAGTCTCACATAGTCATAAACACATCTGCTTTGCCAGCAGGTTACAAATGTCACAGAGACAGTATTTAATGTATTTTATTTTAATTAGGCTTCATCTTGTCTCTGAATTCATTCGTTCAGGTTTTCTTCCACATTCTAAAATCACCAAAGCACTTTAAATTCTCAAATAAATGCAATTACTATTGATGCCACAAAAAGTTAGCTTCCTGTTGAAGGGCACATGGGGTAGGTATTTAATTTCTGACTTTCTTTAGGTTTTTAATTTGACTGAGCTCTACTGGTGTTTCAGAAAATATTTGTTTTTCTCCATTACAGGCTTATAGATTTTCTCAGCTTCCTGAGATGGTAATGGGTTCTCCTCCCCCTCCTGTCCCTCCCAGGACGGGTCCTGTGGCTGTTGCCTCTCTCAGGAGGTATTTATCTTTTATTTTATTTTAGGTATGATCTTTAAAAACCACTGTTGTAATAAGAACTGGGGCAAACCCTGAAGGGGCACTTAAAAGGCACTTATAAAGACACATTCATGAAATTAGAAACATGTTGGGTTTATTTAATTTCAACACAAAGAGAAATAACAATGAATTTTCCTCTTCTATTAGCTAGTCTGCTTCAGTAATAGGAAATGCAGGCTATGATTTCTTTTAAAGCATGCTTTGCCTCAGCACACATAATGACATATTGGATTGAGGGTGTGTGGTAGATAATTCACACCATCATTCTCCTGCTTTTCTGTATGGTAAGGACTTGCAACAGGATAGGGGTGAATTGCAAGATGCTTCTCAGCACCCTCAGGTCTGGGGACATCTGCCCAGCTCTCAGATATCTCATACCTGCATATCTGAGCCCAAATATGTGCAAGAGCCTGATTACCTCAGCTCAGCACATGCAGTTTGCCTCTTCCTCGCACTAAGGCATTTGATTGAATGCATTCCAAGGAATTTTTGCTCTTCTGTGGTGGAGGAACTCATTTAGCCCTCAGTGCTGTGTTGGCAGGTCCGAGGCACCACAGGCCTGTGGAGATCTGTGGAACAGAGGCCAGAGGAAGCATTTCTGAATGGCTGCTTATGATACTGTAACTGCATCAAACTATTCAGGATATGGACATACTGAACGTTGACATGTTCTTGTTCATCCATTACCTTTTAACTCTGAAGCAGCTGGGACACACCATTTCCAAAGATGTTAGTACTTGCCAAGTGCAGATAACATCATTTACCATAGCAGTCTCCTACTACATGATACCATATCATGCATACTGTAGTGTTGTGGTGCTGCCTGCAGCCTTGGGTTGGTGAATTATGGTAAAGCTCTGGTTTTTGTGTTACATTTCACAGGCGTTTGTTTGAAGCAGCAAGCAAAGGCTCTGTACAATGGTAATAATGTGCTCTGGCAAAAGAGTGACCAGGCTAAAGAAGTTGTCTGCAAATTTCTCCAGACTTACTGTTCTCCAAACTTCTGTCATGCCAGAGCAAAATTGGGTAGCTCGTTCCCAGCAGCTTGTCCTGCTGATAGGCATGTATGTGGCTATAAATCTTTTCTGTAGGTCAGAATGACTCAAGTGTCTAATTTTTTCTTTCCTAATGCACAGGTCTACGTCAGATATTGGCAGCAAAGTGAGAATACCTGAGTCCAGTGGAGCAGATCAGGCCCAACATCATGATCAGACAGCTTTTGCACCTGGTTCAAGAGCTCCAATGTCTGTTGGTCCACTTGATCAATCAGCTTTTCACTCAGGTGAAAAAATAGTGCAGACCCAACTTGCAGCTTTGAGAGCCTTATATATTATTTTGGATACAAGTTGAATGCATGGGATATAGCAAATATGGATGATTATCTGGAGAAAGATGTGTTAGGTGGGATCTCTCCTGAGAGAGACCTACAAAGGGTTTCCTGCCTCTTTGTAAATGCAGCATCAGCTGCATTGTAAAATACTCACCCTGCAGAAGCACCAGGAAATGGTCTTTTCTGAAGGTGAGATCCAGCAATACTGTCCCAGAAGTTCTTTGTTCAAGTATGGCATTCTGCTGGCTCCCTAACCAGGACTCTGAATTACTAAATCTCAGTAAAAATGTTGATCAGTGCCACAAAATCCAGTAGCATTTTTGGGGTTGGTGTAGAGGGCGTTGGTAGCAAAAGCTGAAGTGGGGGCACTGGGACTTCTATGTGACTTGTATGTTTGTGTTTCACCATGTACAAACCAAGCAGAGTGGGAGAGAGAGATAATAGGGTTCTGAGGGGCATGGAGAAAGGATCCTTCCATTATTTTATCAGTCAAGAATATCAGTCCAAGTGCTTGAAAACAGAGGATGTACAGTGGAGCTGTAAGTTATACTACCATAGGAGGCTGACTGGCACTAAACTTTGCTTGATGTGTCAGAAAAGGGGAGAAAAGTGGACATAAAGAACAGCATGTGAAACATTGAGGTTTTCTAACCTTTCTGTGGGATGAGTTTTATGACTCCCTGTTTCCTCTGGAGAAACTTAACCCCTAGTCTTGTCACAGCAGTGGGCTGCTGAGGGAGGCAAGTTGAAAATATGTGCTCCCTTCCCTTCAAAACAGAAGGCAGTGGTGCTTTTGCATAGTCAAAGGTTATTTCATCATCCCTCCTGCTTTGGACAGTAAAGTTCCTGCCCAAATGCAGAAAATATTTTGGGTCTGAAAGTCCCGGTTTTAAAGGCCTAATCAGTTCCTGGTCCTTTTAATATGAATTTTGTTTATAAATGAATTGATTTAATAATGAGATTAAGCTGATACACTATTTTGATAGTATCTGGATAACAGCTGGAAAAATACTTGAAATAGCTCCTTCTTGAAGAGCTGTAGAAAAGAGCTTACAAAATCAAAAAGAATTTTACATTGTCAGTTCAAAGTTTTGAAATTAGAAGGTTTGTTAGACATTGCTCTGTTAATCTGCCAGAAAAATGTCTTTCTTAGCTTCCTCAGAAGTAATAGTTACCTGCATTGTCTTCAACATCATCTACTGAGAATAATAATGTGGATATGCAAATCTGTTGTCAATTAATTAAATACAGTAGGTTTGAAGGATCCTACACTCACTTATTGTCATCCCTTCTGGAAATGGTCCACGTGAATCTGAAAAGAGCAGATGCTCACCCTTTCATTTTAAAACATTTCAAGCTATAAAATATGCCACACTACCAAGAGCCCTTCCTTTATGTGTGCAGTAATATGATCTGTGGGATTTGCTTTTTTATCAGTTCCAGTGATGGGGAGGTTTTATTGCTGTGTGTTAAAAGCAGGTGTGTTGTGCTACTGCTGAAGAGTGGCTGCATTTCAGAAGAGACCAAGTGACCTCTGTGTATATTGTGGAGTTTGCCAGAATAATTCTGGGAGTAGCTGGAGGAGACTTCCACGTATGACAGGTGCTACAAAAGGCTATAATACAGGCAGGGAAAGACAAGGAGAGTTGTGAGAAATGTGCAACTGTAATGCAAGTTTTCTAATGTTCTGATATGAAAATAAGTTTTTGTTGTCTCAATACATGAAGAAACATTGTTGCAGGTGCTGATTTGGAATGTAAGGGTCTAATGTCACTCTCATGCAGCCCAACATCGGCTCTAAGATAATGATGTTGCAGTAATAATTTAAGATAAAGTATTACATCCTCTAACAGTGATCATTTTGAATAATAGCTCATTTTTCTGTGGTTAAATTAAAAGAGTGTTTTGATGTAGAAGCCATGTGTCATGTACAGAAGCACCACTGTATTCTCTGTACATATCTGAAGAATACTTATTTCCAGCTTTGCTAACTCCTTTGAAATGGCAACCCTTGTGCTGTTTATGACTTGGAAAGAACCAGGATTGCCCACAGCTCTTCTCTCAGCCCACCCACCTCCTTCCAAACCAAGGGGCTGGAGGAACTGGGATAGAGGCCCTGTGAGATACCCTGCAGTGCAGGCAGGTACTGGTCCATAGTAGTTCCACAGTGGACTGCTTCACTGAGGGCTGACTCCAGCATCCTGCCTGACACAGGTGAAAAGGCACTATATCCCAAAGCCAAAATGAAAGCTTAGTCCCTAACAGTAGAAAACACTGTGTAGATGTAAAGCACAACAGAGAAGTTTTTAGTCCATATTTTGGATGACAATATCTCTCATGGTTTTTTCCAATTTTTAGCTTATTTTGGTTTTTTTGGGGGGGGGGGGTGTTTTTGTGTTTGTTTGTTTGTTTGGGGGTTTTGGAATTTTTTTTATTTGTTTGTTTTGTTTTTTTGGTTTGGTTTGGGGATTTTTTTTTTTTTTTGAGACAGTGTTAGAACAGATGATATGTTTCTGCTCTGGAGAAAAATGTGCTACAAAATATATTTTTCTCTTGATCGCATGCCCTGATTGCATCCAGAGCACTTCTGGCCTGGGAGTGCATGGGAGGTCATTGAGAAATTATAAATCTCTGAGTTTGTGGAGACTGCTTTGGGGATGGATGTCACTGGTTGAGCCTTTCTGTCTCTGTGCATGTGCCCATGCAGTGTCTGCATCACCTATGAGAGCAGATAGCATAACCCTCTTGTAGGTTGTTCAGAACCAAAAATGTGCCAGGGCTTTAAATGACATTCTGGGGGACAGATAAAGATATTTGAAGCAGCCAGTAATTGATGCTAATTCAATTATACTCTGTGTGAATTTTAGGGGAATGCCTATATCTTGTGATTTTGTCAGCATAGCGGTATCATATCTTCTGAGAGCAATCAGTAGCAATATTCAAACTATGTGCAGTTGGAAGGGAGAGTATTTTCTCTGCGTTGATTCCAGTACAGAGAATCTGTCCATCTATGTAACATTACGGTCCTTCCATTCCTCAGTGAAAATGTTTGAGTTGTACTTTGTTGTGTTCTTATGGGGTTTACTGCCCCTTCTGCTTTCACAGAAAGGACGTTATTTTTGCTGTATTCTGTGAATCTGAAAAGTAAAATACATGTCCATGTATTATAATTGAATACTCAAATCATACTGTACACGTGCTTTGTTTACTAACTGATAAAGATGATACACAGCTCTCCCACCCAGGATTTAGGGATGAGGATTTTATGACCTTAGTGTAGTAGTGGTACAGTTCTGGAGTCTGTCTTCACGTGTAAATAGACACTGGAGGAAGGAAGACTTACTGGACAAGCAAGATGTTTATATTCTGTTCTAAACTTGGCAAATACACAGGGTTGTGATAGCAAATCTCAAGGGCAATAGTGGGAGAGCACATCTGGTCTTCCAGGCAGCCTGTGGGTAATCTCTGTAACTGCAGCAACAACCACATTGCCCTCTGCATCTCTGAGCCACAGGAATAAATCCTACCTGAAAGCAGGTGTAACCACACCCAGAGTTTTGGCTGAAACTTATGCTAGGATGGCTGGTTTCTTCCACTCGAATTAGAGTGTGAATTTTAGTGGGTGGCTTCCCGGACATCCCTATACATGCATCTTGATGAAGACATGATAAACCAGATTTGGTGTCAACAAATTCCCTTGGAAATATTTATTTAAGTTGAAGCTGCATAGTTTATTGCAGTCATAGGGTGTTCCTGGGAAAGGAATTGAGCAGGCAGAACCTTGGTATATTTAGAGAAGCAATGAAGTTTCATGATGGAGTTGTTGGGAGTACAGCCTGCTAAACATATCAGTCACTCATTTTTGTAGGTTTCGTACCTGGAGATGTTAAGAAAGATTGCATAAACCATGAAAAGAAAGGTGCATTATGCTAAAAACCATGGTAACAACAGCTAAAAACTGAATACAAGGAAGCAAATGTAAGGGGGGAAAAAAGCCTTTTCTCTTATGATTCAAAGTTTTGATGAAGATCAGCTGTTACGAGGGTCAAGTCGTAAAGACTAAGTCCTTGTATGTACCAGAAGGCTGTACTTGTTTATAAGGACAACTTCCAATCTTGCCTTCTCCAGTATTTCAAATCATAGAGATGATTTGAAAAAGCATCATAGAGATGCTCTTTTCAGAGAGTGGGAGCCTTACAGACAACCAGTGGCGATCACATTCTCACAAAAAAACCCCTCAAACCCCAAACAAAACCCCAAAAAATTACCATTCGGCGAAGTTGTTTCACAGTGCTGTCTTCTAATTTATACCTGAAAATCTCAGCTATTAATTATGTCTACTCTTTTTTTTTTTTATTTATTTAATAGGAAATACGGTACCAGCAGTGTTTGCCATACCAGCAGCAAACCGACCTGGCTTCACGGGCTATTTCATCCCGACACCACCCACCGCATACAGGAACCAGGCCTGGATGCCCTATGCTGGAGAGAGTGAGCTGCCAGGGCAGTGGGCAGACTCTGTAAGCATCCCTGCTTTTCTGACTGCTTATATTTTCTGTGATTCACACTGGAGGTGTTTTAAGCAATTCTAAGTGGTCAGGAAAGAGTCTGATAAGGATAATTTTTCCTCGAACGGGAATAATCTCTAGTAGTGGAAAGCCATAGGAGAGGGCACGGATACTTCAGCTGGCCATCCCATGGACTGTGAGCAAGGTCTTTAGAGAGTGAAATCATTCACTAGGTTAGGGTCAGGCACCTGTTTAAAGTTGGTGGGTTAGATATAATTTTTCTTTCCCAAGACAGAGGTTAAATATTTGGATAGACACGTGACAGGAGAGCGTGATGCTGCCTCTCAAGGTGGCCTTGTGCTGTTTGAAATTTGGGGGGCGTCTTTGCCTCCTGAAGGCTTCTCTCCAGGCAGCCAGAACCCTAGCTCTGCACTGCTACAGCCCTGCTGTGCAGTGTTTCAAGTTCTTCTGCAGGCTGGAGTGACAGATCATAAATTAAATAATTAATTGCACAATCCTAGACTGGAACAGATGTAATTTTTAGCCCAAAGTAAACCTACATTTCAAAGAATTGAAGCTGGAACATCCTAAAATGAATTGCAGTAGTTTGTCATGTTTGAAACAATTTCTCAAATGTAGGGCTTTTTCTCCACTAGGGAAAAAAAAGATCACTTCTGCTGTTTGAGCTCACATCTGGTATTTATGCAGAACCACTTTGGCTAAAAAGACTGGGAGATAGATTCTATTTCCCTGTGCAAATCATTAACAGAATATTTTAGTGAATTGCAGTTGAAGGCCAAGCTGGCTTTGAGCAACTAAGCAAGAGACAACATGGTCATATAAATGTTCCTGGGGGCAGCTGTTTGTTGTCAAACTTTTATTACTGCTCCTGATCCCTGTGAGGAAAAGAATTCAGTATGACTTTGAGATGCAAGTCTGAATTTTTAGGCAGAACTGTCAAGAAAAAAAAAGATGTTCCTCTGTAAGCTGAGCACACCTGCTGGAGTGCCCTGACATCTGGAGTCTTGTGATGCTGTTGTTTAGATTTCCTTCCCAGAGCTGCCTTTTAAAGCATGAAAAAACCTATTTTCTTTTTTTTTATTGTTGTTGTTTTGTTGTTTCAGGGTTTTGTTTGTTTTGTTGTGGGTTTTTTTCATTTGTTTGTTTGTTTGGGGGTTTTTTTTGTGTTTGAGTGGTTTTTTGTGTGTGTGTTTTTAACCTTACTGACATTTTAAATCCAGGAGGCCTGCTGTATCATAGCAATTTTAAAGTTTTACTTTAAGAACTAAAAAAGCCACAAAACAGATAAGGAAAGCTATTTTACTGTCTTCCATTCTTTTTCCCCTTTTGTATCCCTACTCTTGGCTGCAGTCTCATGAAACAGTAGTCAGATATCACTTGCTAAAAGTGGAGACTGAAAACAAACTGGACAAAACTGGAAAACAAGTCTCCAGCTCCAAGTTCCTTCCTCTGGAAGGAGAAGAGTGTCTCCTTGTCTTCAGGGAAAGAGGTGGCACAGTTAGTGCCAGTGGACTATACACAGAGGAATGGAGAGGGATGCAAGAATCTGTCTGAAAAATAGCAGTGACTATAGAATTCAAAAGAAACAAATGTCCCTTTAACTTCACTTACCCATTGCAGAGCTTTAACGACTTCTTATTTCTCAGACTTTCATCCCTCTAGTGGCATTGCAGAAGAGGTAAAAATGTAAACCCAAACCACTGCAGTTTCTACAATGAATTTGCATCTCCCAACGAATGCAATTCTGTCAAGAAGTTGTCTTTATTTGAAAATTAATACTAGAGGAACTAGTGATAGTGTTAATGTCATAGCATGGTCAGAAAGCCTGAATAAAAGTGAAAAGTATAAACATCTAAAGTAATAATCAAGGTTAGAGTTTCTGGATGTGTCCTGGTTTTTGAGCCTTTATATTATAGCTTGATCATACTTCCAAGATTTTCTTAGAGTTAGCAAGAACAGAGGCTTAATATCTGTAAGAAGAAAATTAAAATTCTTTACTTTTCATGCATTTTTACTAGCCTGGACTGTTAAAAAGGGAACAGAGGAAACTTAATTTACTATAATATGTTATTTTCTGAGTTAAATGGTAAGTATTGAAGCACTAAGTCTTTTGGGAGAAGGCAAATGTATCTGGAAGGCACTTACCTTCCAGACTGCTGGATGCTGCTTAGTGAAATCAGCAACCTGGTGGCCTCTAGTGGTGTGTTCACATGTTGTCCTACTGAAATCATCTTTTGAATAATCTGTTGTAAACTAAACAGAGGTGCCTGCATCTAATGATCACTTTCATATCATGCCTGCTTCCTGTGTTTGACTCATCATTCCATACTGTTTGACATTCTCTCCATCGCTTGATGGATATCCAAGATTGCAAAGAGCATCTGTAAATCCTAGTGGTCAAGGCTCCAAACATAAAGCCTGCTTTAAAATTAAGGGCTCTTTTATACTCTTTTTGAAAATATCAATACTATTTTTATTTAATGCATTAAAATCTCCTGAGTACTGTGAAGACTGATATCGTGATTCATGGATTTGTGGAAGAAATTTAATCTCACGCAGTGACTAAAGGGCCTACATTATTATTTTAATTTTAGCTGGTGTAACAGGGGGCTGAAATCAGAGAAGTTACAATAGAGTAAAACTGTGAATCCCCCATGTGATTCTTTTAAATGTAGCCAGAAATCTTGATACTTCTGAGAATCAAACATTCTTTTCAGTCTTGAGCTTCCAAGTTGGCATACCTGAGCTTATCTCCGTTGTCTGGATCTACTGCATTCCTACCAGGAAAAGTGAGACCAGAGACTTGGCTGACTTGGATTAGACAGTGGCTGCAAATCAGAAAACTCTGCTTTTCCGTTCCAGGCTTTTTGGTGTCCTGAAATGTAGTCATGCTGTCTGTTTAAAACTGAAATGTTCAGGAGGAATGGTAAGCAGAGAACACACTTTCAGAAAGAAACTTTTCCCTCTGACTTTTCGAGGTGATGATAAATGAGGACGTGCAGTGTTTCCCCTGCATGGTGGTGTTTTTGCTGCCACAACTGGGAGTTGAGTACATAAATGTGCATAAATGGCATATGCCAAATTAAGCATTTGTAAGCAGAACCTTAGGATTATGAGGTTTGCATTCCCTTCATATGGTCCTATCTGTTACATCTGACTCTGGCCCAGGGAGGTTTGTGCTACCTGGCAGGTGACACCACAGATCAGTTGTTCTCTATAACTTTGTATAATTGCAATTCTCTACAGGTTCCACTTCCTGGGTACATCGAGGCTTATCCGAGGCCCCGCTACCAACACAGCTCCCCGTCACGCCTCCCTCGGCAGTACAGCCAGCAGGCAGGCATACATCCCAGCCTGGAACAGGCTCCTCTGCCATCCACAGCAGCTTCCCAGCAGAGCCTGACGGAAAACGACCCCTCTGATGCGCCTCTCACCAACATTTCCACGGCTGCCCTCGTAAAGGCAATAAGAGAAGAAGTGGCCAAACTGGCCAAGAAGCAAACCGATATGTTTGAGTTCCAAGTCTAATGTCTTTTGTGCACAGTATTTGTACCTTGCAACCTGGGGTAGCCAAGGAAGTGACTGCTTTAATTTTCAGTTACAAACTTGCTGCGAATTGCGCCGAAGTGATGGCATTTTAATCTGTCTGAAAAGTTAACGCTATGAAATGACTTAGAGTAGAGCAACAGGACTCTGAAGATATGTAATCCTGCTTGCCAGCTAAGGAAACGCTGCCAGGAAGCTGTTTCGTGTGGATAAGATTGACCATATGCAATTGTTTGTCACTTGTATTATGAGCCATCATCACCAGAGATGCTGCTGAACATGTCTGCTCCACACGATGTCTCATTTGCAGGCCCAAAGGCAGAGCTGCTGAAAATAACTTCTGCATGTCAAAGCTTTGATTAAAGAAGAAAATGCCACAGAACGTGGTTGGCTAAAGGCCACGGTCGGTGTGGTGGTGGCCATGGTAATTGTTTGCTGCAGGACATGGTATGAGGGATGCTGATCTCAGCTATGGGGAGTCATTCAGCCTTTTCATTCCAGAGACTGCATTCAAAGCAAAAGAATTCAAGATGAGTAAGTAATACAAATAAATGTCCTGTAAATAGCTCCGATTCTCTTCGTCCTATTAACAGTACAAAGAAGTGAAACAAGAGAGGGCTGTGAAGAAGGTGAATGATATTTTGATAATTGGTGGCTACCATGTCCATCAGTGCCACCTCTTAGTTATGGAGGAGACTTTTTTCAGTGTGAGAGAATACAGTGCACAAAGGGCCAACAAAGGATATTGGTGCTAAAAGCTTCCAAGAGAAATGAAAAAAGGTTATTCGCGTTTGCTCTATAATCAGACTTTTCACTCTGAATGCATGTGAAGCTGGTAAACCTGAGACCTTTAACTTTTTCCAACCTGGAAAAAATGAATACACCTGCTTGGACAAGAAAACCTCTGTTCAACACAGTTCTTTTTTTCTCTTTCTTAAACAATGCTATCTACTAAAGTGATGCCAGAAAGTGCTACCCGAAGCTGCAGTTGATGACACTGGAACAGTGAATGCGCACCTAGGAAGTTCTGAATGTAGAGGACCTAATTATTATATTAACATGTAAATAATTTAACAGTTACATGGGTTAACAAAAATACTAATGTTCTGTGAAAAAGAGAGCATTGCCAGAAATTATGCTGACTTTATATTGTGCAAGATAAAGGTCACTGATTGTTAAACTGCATTGTGGTATGAATCCAATCCCAAAAGAATATCAAACCAGTTGAATGGGACAGTAGTTAATATTTTGCAGTTGTACAAACTAGTTGGAGATCATGAAAAATTGTTTTCAGTTCCTTCAGCAGTTTAGCTTTGGGAACTGAAGATGTTGCAAAATTTGTTGTGTTGGGCGTGTTTGATGTCAACTGGAATTAAAGGTAATGTCCTTCATTTCAGTAAGTTATTTAGTTATTCTCAATTACTATTTTGTCTGATCATTTCATTTCCCTGAGTTTCTTTGGTCTTTACTGATGTGAGGAAGGGAACTTGGTTTAGCTTTTTGGCCACCAGTAAATTGAAAGAAGGAGAGAGAAGACTAGAATACAGGATAGAAGCAGAAATTTGATAAAGCACAAACCCTTACTGAGACTGTGATACATAGTTATCCTAGAATATACAGATATCTTCTGCTCTAATACCTTAAATATTGCAGAAGCCTTTGGAATGCTAGTTAATCTTTCAATAAATGTGAAATTTCATTTTTATTATTTAAAATCAGATATAAATAAAATGTATTTTTGTAATTTGTATGTATATATGTGCTGTATATTTTAATAAGTGACTAGTCTGCTATAGTCAGAAAATTTCCATAAACCAAGAAGAAAAAAAAAAGAAAAAGAAAGGAAAAAAACCTCTGGTAATTTTAATGATTGATTTAAACATGCTATGTCTGGAGTACAAAAATATACATTTGGGTGACTTGGATACTAAACAACCAAAGAAACTCAATCTTTCATATCAATACAAGTCTAGTAAAGACCAACTGCTGTCTCAGTTACCTGTCAGCTAAGTAATACCGATCTCATCAGTGTAACAGAATACAGCCAAATTGTGTTGAATTAATAGCTGCCTGAGAACATCACACTTTAGAACAGCAACTTAAAAATACTGGGCCAGACTCAACGTGCCATAAAAGGGCTTGTTCTGGTTGTCTTCAGTGGGAGCTTCATGCACTGAGAGCAAGGCTGAGTTTCTCTTTTGGGCTTCATCTATACATAGGAATTTCACTAGAACCCCTTGAGCAGGATTCTGCTTATTTTTCTGTCATTTGGATCACTGTAACATAAGTGCAGACATAATGGAAGAGCAGCTCACTTTTATTTAGCCTAAGCTGGTTCATAACTGGCTTAACCTAACTTGGGAAGCGAAATCCACTCCAAGTCACATCAGCCACATCTCGCATCAGCTTTATTATCTCAGCTTTTCAACGATTCCTCTATTTAGCTCAGTGAAATTTTGCAAGTAAATAGGCCCTTCTATGCAATGGGAGTGAAATGAGCTGTGAAATAAATTTCCGTGTCCTAGCCTCCTGTTTTGCAGCATTATCCTAAAGCTGCAAGTCTGGAAGCCGCAGCGATCACGTGGATGGACGTGCTGAAGCCACAGAGCTGGGAAGGGTAATGTTATGATGTATTCCCCAAAAAAAAGTCACAGGAGGTAGGACATACCAATTTTAAAAAACCGTCTTTGGGACACTTAGCTCTGTGTGTAAATCTGTTCCCACCCTTAAATTTTAGCGAGTTAATAGTTCTATTGAAAAATGTGGGAGGGTAAAGTCTCATATATTTTACATGATGAGTCATATATCTTGCCATACTGGAAATTAAAAATTCCGGCAATTACAGAGATGTACAGGGTTTGAGTGCCTGTAGAAAACAGAAAAACCCAAACAAAAGCATTTAAATAGCCTTCTAGAAAGAGAAACCATTTCAGTAAAGTTAAACAAAGTACTCTTCTACTAAGGAAGACCAGTTAGACTTTTAAAGTTAATTTTGTTTGGTATTGTTATCAATGATGTGCAGTCTATTGAACATTTTCTGAACCATCACTCTGAAACCATTGTGGTGCACTTTATTCACAAAACCATCTTACCTTCTTCATTCATAATGCCTTTTTATCCTGTTTGTAATACGTTTCTGTATCTTTTTTTTTTAAGTACAAAGTAAGATTATATCAAGACAGTAAGGACATTCCTGGGAAAGAAAAATCATGCTGTAATATCTATACTGTCTGAGCACAAAGCAATGATAAAGTGAAAATATAGTGTACAAATAATTTGTAATATAATAAACATTTTGTATGGCTACAATTACAATATAGTTTTTCAATACTGATTTCAAAGAAGAAAGTATTTGTGTTTAAAGTTATATCCTCATTCGAATATATCCATGCCATTTTTACTGAGAAAAGCGTAGTGATTTAGGTTTTTCTACTTAATGCCCCAGTTTTATTTAAAAATATGTCAAATGTTTAGGTGAAAATACTGTTTTCTGTGTACAAAATCTGTTGATCTTCTGACCACTCTTTGTCTTCAGATTTGTAAATCAGCAGTAGAAACAGCTGCAGATGAAATGCACGTATAATTACTTCTTGTTATCTGTGTACTGACCACTTTCAGTTGGTAAATTACGTGTGATATTTCCTAACATAAATAGAACAGTAACTTTAAGAGGATAAGAGGGTACTCATTGACAGTAATTTTTTGAGAAGACCATATTAATCTGGATTTGAGAGAACCTCTAGCACTCAGTCTAGAAATATGAGTAATATTTGTATCCAATAATATTATGGGTAGAACTTGATAGAAGTGCATGAAAATCCTATATATAGAGATGGGGACATTATCTTACATAGTGATCATTTCTTTTTCAGACTAACTTTGAAAATGTGAGCTGTAAGAAATGTAAGATAAAAATGAGAAGCAAGTAGAAAAAGCAGCACTGGATTGAGTGGCTGTTTTGTTTAAAGGCTGATACATACAAAGCTGACCACAGTTTTCATTATATTTCAAGATGTCTGACTGTTAAACTATTAATTACATTTTAAAATATGTTTTTTAGTCCTGCATTGCCAATGTAAGAGTTAACTGCCAGCTTCTAAAAGCTGAGGGAGCTTGAAAGCAGCAAGTTTTCTGAGCTAGCAGAAGTCACATCATTTTGCTGACCCTGTTCGTCCTTTGCATTCTGGGCAGCTCCAAACACTGTGCCCAGTAACTTATGGTCCTGACCTTGCATTTCTTGTACATGAACAAATCTCAGTGTCTTCCCCTTCCTTGCTGACTGAAATGGGATGGGAAAACAAGTGTGAGACAATCTGAAGGCTGTTAACAGGTCAGGAGTACCTTAAGGGTTTGCAAGCCGTGGACCTTCTGTTGTGCGTTACTCGTACCTATAGACAATGGTTGTGTTTGGCAGCTGCTCCCAGCAAGGTGCATTCCTTGATATGGCTGATATACATAAATTAACACTCAGTCCTGTCCCAAGAGAGTGTATGGATTCCTGCTTCTACGCCTTTGTGTAAGCCATGTGCATTCTCTGTGCAGCTCCACGTGAGAGAGTGCCATAATTAACACCAGTGGTTTCCAGTTACTCAAAGCAATCTCTTGTAATAAAATACCAAGTTGCATGGAATCCTTATTTTACTAGATCATTAGGAGGAGGAGGGAGGAGAGGAGGGAGGAAGAAAGATGTGGTCATACAGTATGCAGACTTTATAACAGTGCTAAATGGAATCACTATCTCAAGTGGTAACTTTTTGTGTTAGACTTTCTTTTCATCAGTTATATTTTTTGGCCCTAACTCCAGGACTGAGTAACATTTTTTTTCTTTTTTTTAATGCTTATCAAAATAGCTCAAAATTAGATTTTTCCATTTTAAGGATAAGGTTACTCTTTTAGAATGCTTTTTTTAAACTTTTGCCTTTCTCTCGTAGATAAATAATGCAGGACTCAACTTGTGGAAATGAGATTTATATAGGTCAGTGAATAAATTGCATTCTGACTTGCTCTTTAAGAGAGACTTTCAAGATGGCCAAGTCATAAAGGCAAGGCTGGTTAATACTGAAGAATCTCTACTGAGAAAAACTGCATTGCACATCCTTGATCAAAACTGTTTTGCCCCACAAGTGAAAAGCAATCAGAAAACTGGGCATCTGGTGATTCCTGTTACTCAGGAAACTTTTTGCTTGGGCTTTGTATAAGACATGGGAGATGAGACAGATTTTGATGGGGTTGTGAAATGGATAGACTACCCTGTGTAACACATTTGCCCTTTGAGTTACCCTTAATACTCACAGACATAAAAACTACAGCCACCAAAGTGGTGTGGCAGAAAGGTGGTTTAGGCCCTGATTTTAAAAATAGTTGAAATGCCCCCCAATTCATATAATATTTCATGCTTTTAAAATCACCTTAAGACCATATTCTTATGAGTATTGTATCATACTTGCATATATATGTTTTCAAAACTAGTTTTTTTGTCCATCTCTTTGTCCCTATTCATTTCAGGTTCCTTAAGGAGGCAGTAATGAAGAGTTTGATCTCAGAGTTGTTCTGTTAGATGAGAAACAGGTTTTAAATAGGTGGTCAAATGTATAGCAGACGTCTTGAAAATAATTACAAATATCATGAAGAGGTGTTCCAGAAATTTGATATTTTTTTTCATTTATTAAAAATAATTCTTGTTTTAAGAAGTGCCTGACTTTTCATGAATTTTTCATGCTCGATTAATTCCCAAGGAGTAGCTAGAAACTATATTGCATTCTGTAAATAATTTTGTAACTTTATAAACACATATTTACCTGTGAGGCAATAATGGCTGCAAAGGATTGTAAATCATACGGGCAGTTGATTCCACTGAGTACAATACTTAGAGAGGAGGTGAATTTCTCTTCCAAAGTATGCCCCTTTTCACTGCAGCTCAATGCATTTCTGTGCTTTGTAAATCAGTGTCTAAACACCACAACAAACACTGACATCAGTTAAAATCTCTTTTATCTGGCAAGGAGCACTGACTTGCAGCCCCAGTGGGACCTTGTAAAGAGTGCCTGTGTATAACTTCAATTTTTTAAGCTATTAAACCAGAAACTTGTGGGTCCTGAACTCTGGCTATTTGCATGGAATCAGTGGCTTTTAGGTCCTGTGTCACCAGCAAACTTAACTAATAGATTCCTTGAGATGTGATGCAGTAGAATACAGCACCCTGTGTGCCAGGGATCCACCAGCACCTAAAAAGCAAGTTACTGTGGTAGAAGAATAGGTAGTAAACCTTGCATTTCAGCAGTGGATGGACACTAAGTGGTTATGAATTTGTTATTATGGCAGGTCAAAAAGTCTTGAAGTTAACTGCTTTGAATCAGTTTATGTATTTGGTTAGCTTTTGATTTCTTCATTTGTTAACACGGTACAAAATGAACAATATTAACAGAATTAACAATATTAATTCTATTTCAGACTTACAAACTTGGGAGATCTGAATGTAAGCAAACTTGGAAGTTTATTCTCTATCCTTTTCTCTATCTGCTACTTTTCACACTGCAATTAGAAAAAAAAACCCAAACACTTTACCCACCAAAAAATTAATTTTAG